ATATATACGTAGATTTACTCATGTCCTATGAGCCTGGCTGCTGCCTGCGCTCCTCAAGGTGTCCCCACAGCCCCCTTGTCACAAAGGCAAAACTGTGAATTTCACGTTAGAGCTCCGCAGCTGTGGAGCTCCCTGCCTGAGGAACTCAGGTTAGCAAAATCAGTATCTTCTTTTAAATCACTCACAATTTTTATAACACATTGTCTCATTTATCTGGTTCAGTAAAGCACTTTTAACTGTGTTTTAAAATGTGCTATACAAATAGAGATAATTATTATTATTATTATTATTATTATTATTAACATTATTATTAACATTATTATTATTATCATCATATATACAGGGGGAAATGTTGGGCTGTTCCTTTATCTGTTATTATGTTTCTTTTTTTTCAAGTGAAGTTTTTTCTCACTGAATAAGGTATGACCATTTATCTTTGCAGCTGATCCAGATTCTCTGGTCAGGGTCATTGTTGAACCTAAATCAACTGTGCTTAAGCCTACAGTTGGTAACTTTTATAAAAGATAACTTTTTTTAGGATTTTAATGTCACCATATTCACACAGCATAAAATGAGACAGATAACCTGTGAAAAAAAAATTATACTGCAGCCACTTTATTGCCTTGTAGCATCTCTAATGGTCTGCTACATGTGAAGGAAAATGACCAGTCAGGGCTGAAGAGTCTCTAACGCAGCTGTCAATCATGATAGTCACTGCTTGTGAACTGCAGTCAAACTATCAAACTAGGCAACACTTATCAATATGCCTGTTTCTCACTTTAAATGTTTTCAGAAATATATGAGTGTCCCGTTTAGCTGTACAATGAGAATGTTTCCAACCTAGCTGCCATTTTGGACACCACTAGTATAAAGCACCGCCCACCAGCCAAACCAACTGTTAAGTGCACTAAACAATGCACTAACATACATTTCTGAAAACATCTGAGGTGAGTAATAGGTAATGCAGTAAAAGAATATCTTGATTCATATTTGATCAGAGTTGTGTAGTTTGACGGACTGACTGAAGTTCACGGAGTGACTGACTGACCACTGCATTAGAGACTCCTTGGACGACATCTATTGCACATCTGTTTGTCCTGGAAGAGGATCCCTCCTCAGCTGCTCTTTCTGAGGTTTCTACCATTTTTCCCACCATGCACTTCAACAGTAGGCAAATGTATTCACTGATGATAATAGTAAGTCTTAAAATTATACAGCACAATTCCTTTTTGCTATGAAATAATGGAATCACCAGCTGAAATAAAAATAGATAAAGTCCCTCTTTTTGAAGATTAACATTAAGTTAAGAGATAAGACCTTGACTTATGATTTTTTATACCTGTCTACATTTGTCAACAGGTGCAGGGACAAGGTCTGAGTACCTTAATGAGCCCTTATTAATGTATTTCTAGATTTTACCTGGCCTTTTTTACCTTTATATTTCAGTGAAGGTAAAGTAGGTCTTATTTAAATTAATGACTTAGAAATGCTAGATAATACAACCATAAAGTTGATCACTGATCTCTGACTTAAAGGAGAAGTCCAGTATTTTGCACTTTGAGCCCCATTTCTGGGTTGTTTATGATAAAATGGAGTGGTTAAGACCAAAATAGTGACGATTGCTCATTTTGAACCTATCCTAAAACCACCCTAAACGTTCGTTTTCAAAGCCATGAAACTCACGGAGTGGCCAGTGGTGTTCGTTGATGTTCTGACATAAAAATCTAAGTGCTTGTTCCTGGCATCATACTAGGGATGCATGATAATATCTGCATGTCATTGGTATCAGCCGATAATGGCTTTAAAATGAAAGATCTGAATTGGCCAAAATGTCTTTTCTTAATTTGCACAATAATTGAACATTACATACACTGAAAAGTATTATATTTCATGTCTCCATCTGCTGGTTGGCCATCACGCTAAGTTGATCCCACTAGAGACTTGATGATCACTAAAATTAGGTAGGGCAAAAGTAGATATATCGGGGGTGTCAAACATACAGCCCGGGGCCAGAACCAGCCCGCCAAAGGGTCCAATCCGGCCTTCTTGATGACTTTGCACACCTAATGTTGATTCACATGTGAAGGCTGAGAGGTTTCCAGGTGCAATTTAAACAGTGAGCAGATACTTAATGTAAAATACTACCTTATAGGCTTTTCCACTTTGACCAGAATACAGCTCTCTGAAATAACAGTAAGTACTTTCTATGGTCATTTTTAAAGATTTGGAACATTGTGCAAACTATTGTCAATCTGCAGCTTCAGTACAAAAGAATCTGTATCAGACTTCTGTCTTACAACAATATTAGTGGAATGCTGCTGCTGAGGCCCTGACAAAATTTCACACTGTGAGGCAGGGGATGACTTGACCTGCTTCTTCAATAGCTTCCACTTTAGTGGATAGCATATGATGAGCCCTAGTGGAAACTAGAACTGTGAATCACCTGGGTGTCTGCTCTGGAAATGACAAGGTTAGAACAACAGTGTACCTTTAAATGTCCGCCGAAAGTGTCGAAGTCGAAGAATGTGCAGGCCTCGTTGCCATAGCAGCCAGGCTCTATCTCCCCACGGATCAGGATGTTACGCTTTAGGAGGCCCACCTCTGCTCTCATATCCACCCCATCCACTTCCTCACCCATATGGATGAACTGGGCCTTACCTGCACAAGTACAAACAAACATTCCATTTACCAGAGCTGAGCAGTGTGAACAGATGTCCATTGTTACCAGAGACTGAGAAAAGTACAGTTTGTTGTGTATTTGCTGTGTGTATGTGTGCATGTGTAGGTATATGGCTGAACAGTTGTTTCAGATAATTGCAATGGACAGAATGGGGAAGCTGAGTCAGAGTTTGTTGCACTATTCTTTCTCTTTTTAAAGGAGAATGGACAGGCAACATTTATAATTATGGTGAACAGACAGAGGCACTCGTAAACACATTGACGCATAACACATACACACATGTTGTAACTCATCTACTTTAAGAAAGAAAGAGAGAGAGGAATACCCTTGAGTTGACCAAAGTAAGAAAGCCAATCTCTTTTTCACCTCCCCTTTGACCCAGCCACCCCACAGTTAAACTTGCAGTATGATTACACGAACCTGCACTGCAAAATATTTGACTGTGATGTTTTTAACTTTTAACTTTTTCCAGTAAATTCCTGGAACCTAATTGCATTACTTTTACTACAACTTACTGTTTTATTTTCACAGTACATTACAGTAAAATTAGAGCTGAATAATAAGACCTCACATATGCCAACAAGTTACTGTGATGGCTGTTGTAGAAATGCAGTGTCACTGTAAAAGCAATGCAGCTCAATAGCCTGTAATTTACTGTAAAGTGAAATTTAAAATAGCATCGTCAACCACTGCAAATTGGCCATTGGCCAACAAACCTATATAATATATAAAGGTTAAATTTCTACAAAAATCTATTTCAGACATTTATTTTGCAATTCTGTATACACTATACAGGTAAAGCCAAACACTGCATTCATTTTTAAAGTTTGGTAGGCTAACCTTTTCCATAAAATTTTAAAAGCTTGAACCTTAAAGGTATACTGTGAAGCAATTGTTGGTTCCTGTTTGTAAACAGTATCTCCAGCGAAAGTAAAACCCAGCCCTAAATTTACTTGCACTCGTTTTTTTTTTAGTATCCGCAATTTTTGTAGCTTCCTCTTGGATGAGTGCTGCCTACAGTTTGGCACATGGTCACCACCTCTTTATAAAATCCCAACCTCATCTGTGCATTGTGCCCAGGAACGTCCCAAACATATACACATACTAAGAGAAACCTTGCTCACTTTCAATGTATCTGAGTATAATGACAATAAAGATCATTCATTCACCATTTTAATAATACATTTTATTTATTTTATTTTTATTTACACATTTTGCCATGTCCCCTATCATATCTCATGAACTGGTTGCCTTAGGGAGGCATCACTGTACTTGTGATAAGTGTTTGTGAGGTTGTGTGTGAATGCATGAACGCCTACATGCATGTGCACAGACACAGGGGCCCATTGCTCTACAAACTGGGCATAGTGATAGTTATGACAGGACAGGATATCAAGCTCAGCTCACAGCTACATCAGCTGAACTCAAGCAGCCCAATCAACTGATGGAGCAGCTGATTGAGGGAAGGAAGTCAGCTGATAGATCACATGATTCCTTTCTATGCAACCAATTGGTAAATCTCATTCAGGGTGTCTCCTCCCCAGCACCTCCTTACATGTTTTGTCTGACTTATCAATGACATTTCTGTTTATCACTGATGCTTGCTCTGTTCTGTTCCGGGGGGTCTTTGCTAGCCTGGTTCCAGACCATAGACCCCGCCCACTCAACTAAGTAGGCTTGCATCTCTGGTCTGGCATACGGCAATGAATTTGCGATTTATCTCATCCAAAAGATGGAAGGACCAATGAACGCCGGGGGTGGGGGCGGGTCTAACGATTAGCCAATCAGCACCACGCTGATGTCAAGCTGTACGCTGGTGGGTAACTGGTGAGAATAGCAACAATGGCGACCGCTACAGATCCTACAGACCACATTAACGATGCTATCGAGGTATTTCGCCACTACTCGTGTTAATGGAGGACCAAATTAAGGAAGCTGCTAAACTGGATTTAACGGCAATGCAGCTGGGCGTGCACGACGACGGAGACATTTTAAACGGGCAATGCTCGCTTGTTTTCGGCACCCCCGAGGCATGGATACTAATGACGTCAGATTCTGGGTGAGTCGTTGATCTCTACTGATTGGTTAGGGAAAAATCAAATTCCCTCCCCCTTGTAAATCGCCTTCAATGGAGGCGATGGTCTTGGCTGCTGCTCTCCCTGCCTGAGGCTTTCCATGTAGGCGCATGGAAGGGCTGAGAGGTATGCTCTCTCTGCCTCAGGCTTTCTTCATAAACGCATGGAGTGGCAAAGATGTGTGCTCTCTCTGCCTTAAATCTTTCCACATAGGCACATTGAAGGGCAGAGAGGTGTGCTCTCTCTGCCTTAGGCTTTCTGCATAGGCTCAAGGAAAGGCAGAGAGGCCCCAGAACAGAAAAGTAGAAAAACCCGACAGCACTCACTAATAAGTATAATACTTTTAATATCTTGGATTGCACAGCAGCAGTTTGTGGGTGTGTCTCCCTTTTAACAGAAACCTGCCGGCTCAGATTAACATAAAAAAAGATACAAATATAGACCACTCATAAATGCAAACATCATAATGCATCGAGTAGTATAAATATGATAGAAAATCTTAAGGCACAAAATACAATATTAAAGAATAGACTAGAATGTATAAGAAACTTTGTAAAAATCGTCAATAACTTTTTGTCATGACCAAAAGTGTCAAAAATCTCCAACATGAGAAAAACAACAACAATAAAACCTATATAGGTAAATACTATTGCAGTCACCAATAGTGACCAGTGTATGACCAATAGATATGGTCCATCTACTGTCTGTGGAAAGTAATGGGTCTACATGTGTAGCTGTCCAAAGAGCCCATGCAGAACCCCCCAGACAATAATAATGGACCACATAAGAGGTCCCAGAACAGAGCCATACCGCCAAATATAATACTGCAAAAGGAAAAATGGAAATAAAGTTTTCTTTGACTAAAGTGGTCCTGACTGAACTAAATCAAAATAACACATCACACATCAGGAGAGACCCCTCACTTCCCAGACTCCTCCTGTTTTCCACACTCCTCTAACTGTTGTTTGTAATTTTATGATGTATATATGACTATTAATATTTTTTAAAATATTTCCTTTTATAATAGATATATTTGTGCTTCTAAATGCAGCGGATTGCTGACAACCAAGTTTCATTATGTTTTAAAATGCAATGAAAATAAAGCATCTATCTATCTACATGGTTGCAGCTATTGTGAATTTGCACTTGCTTAAGGATGCTTTTCACACCCATAGTTCATTTGGTACAGAACAAGAAAAAATATTTACATAACAATTACAAGCGGCAATTGTGGGTTCAAGCCCTTTCTTGGCAAATAGCAGGAAGCAGCAACAGTGACTGGGTTTCAAGCTTTCGCAAAGCTGAGCAAAGTCACTTCAGCTTCATTTCAGGGAAAAAAACTGATACAGCATGGTATCGCAATATTTTGTGTGGTGATATTGTATTAATACAAAGACACAAAGTATCTTTCTTTTATTACATTGTTAATTTTTGCAAATACACATTTTAATACAACTTTAGAATAATAAAATCAATTACTTTTTGGTCCACCAGATGGTGCTGTTTTTTAACTGATGAAGTCAACAGAAGTCTCAGTCAGCAGCATTTGGCAGGAAGTTCATCAAAACAAACATGGAGGCACTGGAGAAAGGAATCAGAAATGTGCCGTTGGCGTTTAAATCAAACATCTGGACTTATTTTGGATGTTTTAAAACAGAAGGAAAGGAGGACTTGGTTATAACACGTGATTTGCAGGCAGTGTGATATGAGAATAAAATACCACGAACATGAGGGACATAGCGTTAGCCACTGATGGCCAAGCTAGAATTAAACCTGCTCTGCTGAAAAAAAAAATCAACCAACACTGGACACGCTTAGCTTCACAAAACTACCATCCACCTCTGAAAGAGCTAAGAAAATAACACAGTCCATCACCTCCTTCATGTGCAAAGATTTGCGTCCATACAGTTCTGCTGAAAAGGCTTTTGTTACATGCTAAAACACTGGAACCCAGGTATTAGTCTGTACCCAAGCTCTAAAGAGAAGATAAGTATAAAGCTGAGAAATCTTTGAGTACAGCAGGAAGGGTGGCATTAACTCAGGACGCCTGGACTTCCAAGGTCAGTGGATTAATATGTGACTATAAGGGTACATTATCTAACAGAGAACTGACTGCTGTCTCACGTTCTCTAAACTGTCTCCAAACTAGAGCAGTAGGCCTACACAAAAGTCACACTGGAGCACACACTGCAGACCTCCTGCAAAATGCAGCACAAGAATGGCGGATTGTCATTGTAACAGAAAACGCTTTTAACATGGGTGTTGCCATCCAGTTAGCGGGATACCTGCATGTGAAGTGTTTCACTCATGCGCTTAATAGGACGACAGGTTGTGTGACTACATTTGTTTAGAGCATAGGACTGGGACATTCAAAAACTCCAGTTCTCAACTTCCAATACCATCACATTCCCACTGGGCATCAGCAAGTTTGAAAACAACAGTATTCTACATTTAGCATAGTGTAGCCTTAGCCCAAGAAAAGCAGGGATGAGAACAACAAGGGCAAAAAACAAAGAAAACAGTAAGATGAAGAATGGTGCAGAAATGAGCTCTGTTCCACGTGTCCTCCACTCCTACACATTCCCACTGTGCACAAGGCAAATTTGCTAGGAAAAAAAACAGTGTTGCCTGGGAAAAAAAGGGAAAGAAATACAAAAAAAAACAAAATCTGAGAGACAGAAGATCACACTCCCACATGCTTCATCTTTTTCTCCTCCTACTCCCTCTACCAGTACAGCCAGGATTTCATAAGTACAAATGAACACTATCATTCCAGCTTGGATTTAAAACATCAACAGCAGAGGCTTAAAAGACATTTGAAGATCTAAATTTCCTGGAGTTTACTACTAGTGCCTAATTCCATCTGTTTTTCCCAAAACTGATTTGTGCTTTTGTGGGAAAGA